AAAAGAATTTCACTTTGTATAACTATAGTCGTACAGCTTTGTATGACTATAGTCGTAGAGAAATTGACAAAATTTTTCAAACAACCCCATTGTATATAGTTAGAAACATAAGTACTCTTACTACACTGTATATAGTTTTCCGACATTTTAGCAGAAATTCAAGAAATTTTTATTACATATACGTATACAATATTAAAATAATTAAAATCCAAAGATACACAATTACTAAAAATTTTATAATGGGTCAATAAAATTGAAAACAATTATGGTTTCCGATTTATTTTCGAAATATGAAATCAAAAAAAAACTTGTTTTTTTTCTGTTTTTTTTTTTATTCAAAGAATTCATACATAATAATTTGTCTATTATATAAGAAATACATACATACGTATTAAATACATAATGAATTTGGTAAAAACCCTCTGTAATCATTGAAATTTAAAAAGAAATTTCAAATTTTTGTCACATATTCTTACATAAGGACCCATTTCGATATTCACGCTATACCGTCATATTATTCAAACATTTTACAATTTATACAAAAAATAAATTAAAATAAAACAAGTAACTTTTAATGCATGACACATATTATTGACTGTAGAGGTAATTTTTTTGTATAAACACACATTTAATTATACATAATGGTATACACATATTTAGTATAATGTACACGGGTAAATACGTTTATCGCGGTTTGGCGATAATACCATAAAAAAAAAACAGACAACAAAATATAAAGAGTACAAAATAATTCGTGAATTCATTAAGAATTTGCCCCGAAAAAAAATACATGGTGGTACGGTATGCACCTTGGTATGCATACGAACATACATTTATATTACATACATACATACATATACACATAAATACATACTAGGAGGTATTCGTGAAAAAAAAAACAAAAAAATTTTTTGAATGAGCAAGTGCATTTATGGAACCTTATATATATTTTAATTTTTTTTAAGATAATGTTAAAATTAATTGATTATACTTAAAATATGCCCATATGTATATGTAAGTATCTGCAGCTATGTCTTATCTTCTTCAGTTTTTCGTATAGTTTTTTTTACATTTTATGTATTCCTTAAAGCCGCCTCAAAAAAATAATTATGCAATTGATCTTAAATATTTAATTTTTTAAACTCATTTTAAAATTTAATTGAATCGATAAAAAAATATTAGAAGATTATTATGAGCATTCAGAGTTATATATGCATGCATGTTAAATGTAAGCATCCGAAATGTTTCTAGAATCTTGCATAGAAACGCTTAGGACTCTTCGTCTCAAATTTTCATTTTGATAAGTGCATAATATTTTAAAAACATACATATATAAACTTAAAATTTTTAAAAATTGAGTGTGTAGATATAAGGAAAACGTGACAAGCTTTTTAAATAAAATAAATTAATTATGTAATTTGAAAGATCAAGAGTTCACAGTCTAATTTAAATAATTTCATATATTTCGCCCTAAAACAACTTTATTTAAAATGATATAAGTGGATTGGAAAATGTACCAAGTAAAAATCTAAATAACCAATTAAAAATCTAAAATTTAATGAAGAATATACAACAATAGATTAAAAAAATTTTATGTATCGTTTAATAATAATAATATTTTAGATAAAATTAGTTTATAAACACTTGACTTCACTCTTGAGAGCAAGGAGATGTAATTGACCTTATTATTTATTTATTTATTTTTTATTTTCATTTACTTGGCATAACCCTTAAAGTTCATGATAGCTTAGACCTTATCGTTTGTGATAGCATAATAAATGCAAATTTTTAATTTATATATGTATGTACGTAATTCTTGGTAATGTGTTTGGTGTCGAAACTTGTCCTTCAACTCAAAAAGAAGAAAAATAATAATGAAGTAAGAATCTAACAAAAAATTAAAAACTTATACCTCTTTTGGTAAAGTCAAGAATCAAAAAATGCATTTAAAATAGTGTCATTATATTATTTCAAAAGGGAGAGGTTTGTGCACTAAATGAAAATTAAGAGGAATGTAACAACAAGCTTTCTTTATTAACATACATATATATTCCAATTTAATAACATTTTTATTGAATTAAGCGATATAGAATTGAATAAGTTCTAAACCTTTGAAATATTAAAGGAAGGGATCATTAAAGTGTAAATGCAATTTAACTTTGTCTACAAACTTTATATAATATATATAAAGATACCTACATATAAAAGCAGGAAATTATTAAACCAATATCATAATTTTATATTATAAACTTTGTTATCAAATTTAGATAATTTTACTCATTGAATAAATTGGATATGTAATCTAAATCTAAAATGACATAATTTCAAAAATCGTTCTTTTCAATGTTATTTTATTTATTTGAGTGAAACAAAGTGGAGCACGTACATTTATGTATAATTCGATTTCTAGCAAAAATATGCTAAGTACTGCTAAAATAATAAGCAAAATTTTAGTCCTAGCACACTGCGAAATTCTACGGTTAATAGGTACACAATATCACTAATTCTTTTTCGGAAATAGACCCAACAAAATCGAATCTATATTCATAGTTCATCAATAATTTGGTTGGTTCAGAGCTTAAGGTAGATATCTCCTTCAGTATACTCTAAAACATAATGTGTATCAACCAAGTCACAAACATCTTATTAGAGTGTTGCTAATATAAGATATACCACTAAATAACTATTATAACAATATAAGTTTAATTTAAAAATATAATATTCTTTTGGACCGATTTTAATTCTTAACTCAAATAATACTAAAATTAAAATGATTAATTTTTTAAATGGTAAGCACCTAATATGTAATTTCATTTTTATATGATAAAGTCTACGAAAGTGTACACCTGTAGGTTTTTAAAATCAAAATTAAATAAGCCACTAGGTTACACATTTTATATGTCCATATTATACTTTTCTCTTCTTCTTTTCTTTTTCCCGTATGATATAATATAATAATAGTGGTTACTATAATTAACTGGTATTTACCCAAATTATAATCATTGTTATTAAATAAATTGAATTATTTTTTGTTTTTCTTTTAATATACATATGTATGTTTAAATAAATACACATATGTATGTACATATGTAGGTACATTGCATTATAAATTATTCATAAAAGACCCATAATGCTTAATAGTTTTTGTATGATATGAATGTAATAATGACCATATAAAAGCTATTTATGAAAAATTTGTAATTGGTACGTACAAAGTATTTAAAATATTGAAAATGAAAAAAAAAAATTAACAAAAAATAATGCAAACATTTTATGGATATGAGGCAAGGTTGATTAACTTTTAGCAATTTTGTTGATTTTTGCTTTCAATTATAAATATTTGGCAAAGTTTAAGTGATATCAGCTAAAAAAGAATTACATTGGTGAATGTTTTAAAATTTAATGAAATAAAAATTATATACTTTTTCTTTCTTGGTTTTTTAAAATTAAATTTTTACTTTTTTAGTTTTCAAATATTCAAATTAATTTTTTTATTACAGTAAATTTCACTTCCTACATAATATAAAAGAGTAATTTTCTTCCTGTACAAATTATATAAAGGATAAAAACAGCTGATTAAAGCATTGGGTCCTGTTTTTCATATATTTTCGCCTGTTATGCATTAAAATAATAGAAGTAGATTTGTAATTTAATTTATTCCTTCCAATTCATCGACGGAACAAAAGCAGAATTGTGTCTTCAAAAATGCAGCCTTGATTGAAAGTAAAAATTAATGTTGTAACAAGAAACAGGTGTATATAATATATATGTATGCATGTATGTATGTACATACTTAGTTTCTACTGCAACATTTTATCAGAAAGTTTAAATTTGCGTATATCTTTTTCTAATAGAAATTTTCAATCAACAAAACCGGGAATTTTTTATATTACCTTCTATAATCAGTGAAATTTTGCTTAAAAACATTATTCTGCTGTAGTGAAATTCTTTTTAAAATTTGTATATGTATTTATAGAAGTGCCTACGATATGTATGTTTACATTTTTAATACATATATGTAGTTCATATTCTGGGTTTGCAAAATATTACAATACAATTTCTATTTGATACACACCTGTACATGGTAATGCAATTATTAATGTAAAACAATTAATTGTTTATTGAATTTATATTACATTTCACTTTTTTTAAATTTTGTCCATTTTATTCTTTTATACTATTTATTTTTTTATTTTTAAAAATTCACTTTAGTTACTGTGAATATTTTATATTGTGAAGCAAACTCAATTAAAAATTCGTATTTTGACGAAAATAAAGTATTTGAATTAATTGAATTTAATAATTATTAATTTAATAAGAAATTTGTCTAAAGTAATTTTTGCTCTCCATAATTTTTGCAATTTGTGTAAGAGCACTACCAAACTAGGGATGGTGCAGTGAACGGCTACTACGTACATAAATACGGAGGTACATATCGATATTTTTTAAATGTCTTGTGATATCGCTATTAAGAAATCGATATAGATATTTAATTGACATTATTAATTTGAATTAAAAATCATCAAAATAAATTTTAAAATTTCTTTTTTAAAGACATTTTTAATAAACTTTTTGTTATTTGTAATATTTTTACCAATAGTGTATTTTGGTTTTACCAGATTTGGTTCAGATACAAGAGATTACTTCCCTTTTAAGTTTTTGCCAGTGGTAGTGAGATATCAAAGCCCTGATAAATTCGATATTCATATTTCATCTCAATAAATCATTTTCGTATTCATATTTCATCTCAATAAATCATATGAAACGATGTTGCAGTATTTAATTTATTTTGTCTGTCCTATTTTTGTTTTCAAGTACATACATAGATAAATTTTCAGATATAAAAAAAAATACTCCGAATTTCTATGAAAAAAAAAAATTAATTCTATACGAGTTTAACGGTTAAAAATTAAATAAAAATATATTTACAATATTTGCCGCTGAGAGGCACACATGCATATTTTTTGACGTTTTTGACATACAGCTGAGCAAGTATAATTGGAAGAATGGTAATTTACTATTTGAATATTGTGGTTTGGTATATGAATTAAAATACTTTTGTGCAATTTGTAAATTTTATTTGAAAAACTGAAAATATGGATGTAGGAGAACTTCTTTCATTCAAAGTATGTATTAAACGTTGCTTATTTTGCTTTTAATAAGTTTAAATTTAAAATTGTTTTAATTAAAGCCTGAACAAACACCAAAGCGGCATTTGGATACTGATGATGATTACGATGCTCCACCCATTAAAAAGGCAATTAAAGAATCAAAAAACGAAATTCGAGTTAAAAGAATAGCAGAAGCTAAAGCAACTTTAGATAAACCATCAGCACCCATTACAAAATTAGATTTATCATTGACAGAAGAAGAAAAACTTAATATAGTGAAATACGTTGAAAGTGAAGAAGCTGAAGGTGAGGTACTCGACGAAAATGGCTTAAAGAAAATGATTTTACTCTTCGAAAAAAGAAATTTGAAAAATCAAGAGATGCGTATGAAACATCCAGATAATCCTGAAAAATTTATGGAAAGTGAAGTTGATTTACATGAAACAATTTTAGAATTAAAAGTCGTAGCAACTGTTCCCGATTTATATCCTATTCTAGTAGATTTACACGCTATTCCCAGTCTTTTAGAATTGTTATCACACCCAAATACAGACATTTCAGTTGCTATTGTTGATTTAATACAAGAAATGACCGATGTCGATATCTTACATGAAAGTGTTGAAGGAGCAGAAATTCTTATAGAATGCTTACGGCAACAACAGATATGCGCGCTATTAGTGCAAAATTTGGAAAGACTTAATGAAAGTGTTAAAGAGGAAAGTGATGGTGTACATAATTCATTATCAATAATCGAAAATTTAACAGAAATGCAATCGGAAATAATTCGTGAAGCAACTGATCAGGGCCTATTAGGATGGATATTGAAAAGGTTAAAGCAAAAAACTCCATTTGATCCAAATAAATTATATTGTAGTGAAATTTTATCAATTTTGCTACAAACTGAGAATGAAAATCGTTTGACATTAGGAAATTTAGATGGAATAGATGTTTTATTACAGCAGTTAGCTGTATATAAAAGACATGATCCACATTCATCTGAAGAACAAGAATATATGGAAAATATGTTTAATTGTCTGTGTTCAGCTCTAATGGTCAAAGAAAATCGCGAAAGATTTTTGAAAGGCGAAGGTTTGCAATTGATGAATCTTATGTTGCGTGAAAAAAAAATGTCTAGGAATGGCTCTTTAAAAGTCCTAGATCATGCTATGGGGGGACAAGATGGTAAAGACAATTGTAATAAATTCGTGGATATTTTAGGTTTAAGAACAATTTTTCCACTTTTTATGAAAACCCCAAAACGAAATAAAAAGCGTTTGCTGAGTATAGATGAACATGAGGAACATGTGGTTTCAGTAATTGCTAGTATGCTTAGAAACTGTAAAGGTGTTCAAAGGCAAAGATTAATATCAAAATTTACGGAAAATGATCATGAAAAGGTTGATAGATTGTTGGAATTACATTTAAAGTACTTAGAAAAAGTCGAAGCTGTCGAGAAGGAAATTGATGCTCAACCAGAAGTATTTTTTTAATTATTATAAAATAAATAACTATGATTTCTATAATAATTTTTTAGGATCCTAATATTGATGAAGATGAGATGGCTGATACAAATTATATCAAAAAGCTTTCTGGTGGTCTTTTTACACTACAATTAATAGATTACATCATTTTAGAAGTGAGTGCAGCCATTGATACTGTGAAACAAAGAGTAGTAAAAATATTGAATTTAAGAGGAGCCTCAATGAAAACGATCAGAAATTTAATGAGAGGTAAAATTTCGATAAACAACTTAATTTTTATCTGTTAAAGAAGAAAGTTTTTATTACAAGCGCATGTATCACACTTAATATGTAACGACAATAACATATTTTACTTCAAATAAAACCAATTTTTACTTCTTTAACAAATAAAAGTTCAAAAGTATTATTTCGAAAAGGTTTCAAGATATTAAAATATTAATAAAAATTTTATATTTTAGAGTATGCTGGAAATTTGGGAGATGCAGGTGATGCTGATTGGAGAGATCAAGAGCAGGCACATATAATTTCATTAGTTGATAGGTTTTAATTGTCATTTTTATGCAAACACACTGTTGTACAATTTTATAAAGTTTTTTTTTTAAGTAAGTAAATACTTTGAATTTATAAGTTTGTAAACGCAACTAAGAAAAACAAAACCATTTTGTTGAATATTCTCAATTTTATTATTTAGAGTTGAAAATTTTATGAACTGAATAATACCTTCAATAAATTTAATTTCATTAACATATGTTTTTCATCAACAATGTTTTTAGTTTGAGCTAATTTAAAGTTCTGGAATCTCAAAGTTGACATCTATATTAACGTCACGTGCCAATTCTACAATTTCTGCTAAACGAACTGCTAAGTTAGCAGCCTCACTTAAATCGTCACGAGGTAAAATTTTCATATTTGATTTTTTAATCAATTCTCTTGCTTCATTCACTTTTGTTCCCTAAAAGATACGTATGTATATCATATAGAAACTAATTACAAATAATTTAAAAAAAAAATTTAATTTATACTTGTAATCTACAAACGATTGGCATTCTTAGGTCCAAATCTTTTGCAGCTGCAATAATACCTTCTGCAATAACATCACAACGCATAATTCCACCAAAGATATTAACTAAAATAACATACACTTTTGGATCAGCAGTAATAATTTTGAATGCTTCCTAAAAATAACCAAATAACGTGTTTATCTAATTTTTACTTTATAAGTTTAGTTTAATTTAGAATATTACTTTAACAGCAGAAGCAGTGGCCCCACCACCAACATCTAAAAAATTAGCCGCATCACCTCCATGTAATTTAATTATATCCATTGTAGCCATGGCCAATCCTGCACCATTAACCATGCATCCAATTGTACCTTTGGTTATATATAAAAAATTTGCATGATGGCTGTTAATTGAGAATTTTGAGAACTTTACCATCCAAAGTAATATAATTCAAATCATATTTCGCAGCTTCAACTTCTTTCGGATCTTCTTGTGTCCAATCCCTAAGAGCAAATAGCTTTTTTTGTCTAAACTCAGCATTATCATCAAAACGGAATTTAGCATCAAGGGCATAGACTATTAATTAAAATAATATACATATTATTAAATACAATGCAGAAAGAATTTGAGAATGGTGCTAAGTGTTACATTTTTAAATGCTAAAATATGGATTATGCACATAATAAACTTGATTAAATTCTTATCAATTAAAAAAAGTTTTGAATTTTTAACTCAAATAAAGAGCTGCTTATACACTTTCAAACTCTAATTATATTTGGATAGTTTCTTTGGAAACACAGAAAAAATCGGAATAGTTTGAAAGTGCAAACTTTTGTACGCTCCCAGTTTAGAAAAACCCGTCAATCTTACAATTGTTTTGGGAAAAATAAATTATCACTACGATAATCTAAAATTGTTGAAATAAAAAAATAGCATTTATAGTTAAAATTCATAAGAAAATTGCAGTTTAAGCTATGCCTTGCAAGAAATTTTCCTTCAGTAAAAATATACTTAATAAAAAAAAATTTAACTAATTATTTCGAAATAAATTTAAAATTCGCCGTATTTTATAGTTATAATGAACTAAAAATCAAAATGAAATTGAGAAAAAATTAAGCTCCAATCAAAAAAAGAAATTCCGAAAATTCTTAGTAACACTTACACCCTTCAATTGCATCTTCAGCATATGGATTGATTTCAATTAAAAGAGCATCTTTTTCACAAAACAATTTGTACATATTTAACAACATTTCTGTTATTTGACATGCTGCTTCACATAAACCTACAGCATGTGCGATTTTAAAAGCTTTTTCTCTAGTTAAACCACAAGTAATTGTGATTGGTTCATAAATAATATCTTCTGGACTAGATGCAGCAACGTCTTCAATTGAAACACCACCTTGAGACGAGGCTATTAGAACAGGGCCCTAAAAATATATTGGCACTAATACTAAAATCATTATTTTTTTTGTACTTCAATTACATTAAATTCTCTTTCCATCATTATAGCAAAATAAAATTCACGACGCGGAAATTTACGTTCTGCAATCATTACTTTATTACATATAAGTCCTTCGGGACCGGTTTGCTTTGTCATTAATATTTGATTAATCATTTTTGCACCAATTTTTTTAGCTTCTGCGGGACTGTAATTAGGTTGATACATTAAATAAATATAAAGCCTCTCGTAATAGCATTAAAACTGGTGTTCACCTATTAATTATTTTAACACCACCTCTCAATCCACTTTTGAATTTACCCACTCCTCTACCACCAGTTAGTACTTGAGCTTTCATTACTAAATTCTTTGTACATAATTCTGTGGCAAATTTTTCACACTCTTCAGGTGTAGCCGCAATTTTAAATCTCACAAAATTTTTAATTAAATTATTATGATTAATATGATTATCCTATTGAGCTTACCTTGGAGTAGGGATGTTATATTCATTTAATAATGAATATGAAATATGCTCATGCACATTCAAATTTCTTTTGAAAACTTTGTTCTTAAAAAGAAAAAAATATATATATAAAGCTTTATATACCAAAAAATTTTTCTTTTACTTGCGCCGAAAATGAAATGTTAAAAATATTTTTTCTAAAAGATCTTGCAATTTTATAAAACATTTTAAATATTGGCCTTTCGTGACAGAAACCAAAATTTACAATAATAAAAATATTATAAATTATTTTTATATGTGATTGATGAAAAAAATAAAACTCGAATTTTTAAAATAAATTTATTTAAGAAATTTTTTTTTCGAATTTAATGAAACATGAAATATTCGATTGTATTCATAGAATTTAATACATACACGAAATTTTCAATATTTTTAAGGATCCTGCAAGACAGTATGTAATAATATACAAATAAAAGTAAGTTTTGGAATGCAGATCACCCTATGTCCTTTTTCGGCGGATAAAATATATTTGAAAATAAATAACTTATTAAAAAAACTGACAATTTTAACATGATAATTTAATGTTTATTTTTATTTTATGTATACAAATAATACATTTATTTAAAATAAAAACAATAGTTATAAATGGTTAACAGCAAATTCTACAGGCCAATTTTAAAGACATAAAATTATCAATAATTTTTTTTTGATAATTCGTACAGCAAATCTTTCTAAATTATTTAAGAAGGAAGTACTTAAATAATTATTGTAATCTTTTGAATTACTTATAAAATTTTTATATGAACAACTTTTTAATTTAGAAAGATTAATAAATTAAATTATAAAATATTAAGATTAAATTTTTTTCCTATTTAAAGTTGATTAGAGAACCTACAACATCAATTTACTTTCTACTTAAAAATTACAGAAAAATTTATGATTTTTTGCTTAATGATTTACAATATTGTTTAGTGAATATTGAATAATTTAATTCTAATTTATAATATTATCTACACAATGACGTTTTTTATTCCTATAGTAACTGCTTTATTTTTAAAATTTTAATTTTGCCGCGAAAAATCCACCTTTTTGGAAAAAAAATGGAGTAGAAATATAGTGCAAATATACAAAAAATATATTTAATGTCATATTAAAATTGAATCAATTTTCATCATGTATAAATTTGGTTCTCCCTCTCAAATATTCGTTCTTTATATAATTATTTAGTTTTTCTTTTGTTCTTTCTTCAAATAACTTTTTCTAACTAAGTTATTAATTTACTTTCAAAAAACATGTTCTGGAATCTCAAAGTTGACATCCATATTAACTTCACGTGCCAATTGAACAATTTGTGCTAAATGAACTGCTAAATTAGCCGCTTCATCTAAATCATTACGAGGTAAAATTTTCATATTTGATTTTTTAATCAATTCTCTTGCTTCATTCACTTTTGTTCCCTAAAATATACACATAAAAAACAAATTAAAAATAATTTTAAGAAAAGTTGAAACAAATCATACTTGTAATCTGCAAACGATTGGAATTCTTAGATTTAAATCTTTTGCAGCTGCAATAATACCCTCCGCAATAACATCACAACGCATAATTCCACCAAAGATATTAACTAAGATAGCATGGACTTTTGGATCAGCAGTAATAATTTTGAATGCTTCCTAAAAATAATTCAATATGTTATTTAGTTTTTAATTTATAATTATTCGTATAATTTGGTTTATTACTTTTACAGCAGAAGCAGTGGCCCCACCACCAACATCTAAGAAATTAGCTGGATCACCTCCATGTAATTTAATAATGTCCATTGTTGCCATGGCCAATCCTGCACCATTAACCATGCATCCAATTGTACCTTTGGTTATTTATAAAAAATTTTCATGATGGCTTTTAATTGAGAATTTTAAGAAGTTTACCATCCAAAGTAATATAATTCAAGTCATATTTTGCAGCTTCAACTTCTTTTGGATCTTCTTGTGTCCAATCTCTAAGAGCAAACAACTCTTTTTGTCTAAACTCAGCATTATCATCAAAACGGAATTTAGCATCAAGGGCATAGACTATTAATTAAAATAATATACATATTATTAAATACAATACAGAAAGAATTTTGAGAATGGTGCTAAGTGTTACATTTTTAAATGCTAAAATATGGATTATGCACATAATAAACCAAGTTAGTATCAATTGAAAATAAATTTTAAAATATATTTTTATTACGGTATTACTTGAAATTTTAGCTGAAATAAAAAGCTACTTTAATACGCTTGTAAACTATATATTTCTACAAAATTTATTTTGTAATTATTATTAAAGCAAATATGTATAAAAATTTAAAAAAATTTTGAAATTGATGCCAAAAATAATAATTTAAACTATATTTTGTATATTTCCAGTATATCTTTTTTCCCAAAATATGAAAACACGTTTTTAACTTAGCATTTTGAAAAAGCCAATCAATTTAAAAATAGTTTTCAGAAAAATTAATTATTACTACAATAGCCAAAGTGCTGAAGCAAAAAAAATAGCATTATTTTCTTTTAAAGAATAAAGTCGAAATTGAAAAACTACTATTTAAGCTATTTGAACGCAAAACTTTCTTTTAAGAAACCTTCACCTTAATAAAAATTAATTTTTTTAAAAAAATTATATCAACAAAAAGAGAACATATTAAAAAAAATTTAAAAGTAATAATTTCCAAAAGAATTTAATATTTGTTGCCTTTGTACTTACAATGAGCTAAAAATCGAAATGAGTGCGTGAAAAATATGGAATTAAAAAAAATTTAAATATTAAATATTTATATAATTAAACAAAATAATTTTGAAAATTTTTATCAAAACTTACAGCCTTCAATTGCATCTTCAGCATATGGATTGATTTCAATAAGGAGAGCATCTTTTTTAACGAATAAAGCATACATGTTTAATAACATTTCTGCGGTTTTTTCAGCATGTTCTGCTAGTCCAACTTTTTTTGCAATTTCAAGAGCTTGTTGTTTTGTTAAACCTTTTTCAATGTCAACTGGTTCATATAAAATTGCTTGGGGGTTTTCAGCAGCAACTTCTTCAATATTAACACCACCTTGCGATGATGCGATAATTACGGGACCCTAAATTATTTAAGAAAAAAATTATAATTAAATTATATATTTTATTTTACTGAATAAAATTATTTAGTTACATTAAATGCTCTTTCCATCATTACAGCAAAATAAAACTCTCTGCGTGGAAATTTTCTTTCAGCTACCATTACAGAATTGCAAATTCTGCCTGCGGATCCAGTCTGTTTTGTTACTAGCAATTGATTAATCATTTTTCCTCCAATATCACGAGCTTCATCCGGTCTATAATTGAAAATCATTTTTAATATTTGTTGAAAATTGGTTTATTTATAATTTTACGTATTAATAACACGAACACCACCTTTAAGACCATTTTTAAAGTGACCTTTACCACGTCCACCAGCTAAAACTTGAGCTTTTAAAACCAGGTTATTTGTATTTAATTTTTTTGCAATATCTTCACAATCTTTAGCCGACTTTGCAACACCAAACCTATAATCACGCAATGAAAATTTTTTTTAAAACCTTTTCTATGATGTAAAACTATATTGTAATGTAAAAATTTAATATGCACACATATATGTACACATACTACAAAAAAGTTTCCAAGGTTGTTATTAAGTTCCAGTGTATGTGATCATTTCAATATTCATAAAATTAAAATATTACATAGACAGAAACCTCCCTTCTTTAATTAAAGCATCAGAACATATGCAAATTGATTTTAATAAAAACTTAAATAAGTGTTTACGTGAAAAGCTTTACATAAATTCAAAACAAAATGTGATCTCAAATACGAGTGTAATGTAAAACCCTGGCAGTATTAAATCAAACAACGACCCCGATAGAAATATAAAATGATTGATAACAGTGTCTAAATTTTTGTTATTTTACTATGCCACTGATTCAACATACTCTTAAAGAATTAATAACCTTTGGAATTAGTTGATAACGAATACCCTATTTATTTATATCACTTACTTTGGTGTTGGAATATGAGCTTCATTAAGTAAAGTGTATGAAACATGTTCTTGGACATTTAAATTACGTCTTTGACCAGCAGTTGCAAGACCAAGGATCTAAAATAAATTCGATTTTAAAGCAAATTAATTTAAATTATATTTTAATTTTCAAATTTTTAATTTTCTTATTTAAATTAGTGAAGGACATTTTATCTTTAAAGTTCAATGTCAATAAAAAAATTTTCTACACCATATGATTAAGAGTACGTACATATATTGAAAATATTGATTTTATAATAAAAATAAAAAAGTGAAAATTGTATAATCAAACTACAAATTTATCACTAGTATTCCGATTAAATAACGTTCTAATTAGCACCTGATTTCTTTAAGCTTTTCAAACTTTCTTCTATTTTATAATTAGAAAATTGTTACGTCAGTGATTTTCTGCAGAATAAGGAAATTTTTTTCAAACTTTTACCTTTTGTCCATTTCTTGAACAAACTTCTGTCAACAGTGCTGCACGGGACAACAAAGATGCCATTTTAATTAAAAATTATTACTTATAATTAAAAAAATTTAATAATTAATAATTTTATAGATGCGAAGTAATTCAAAAATCCTCGATCGCAAAAATATTCTAGTGAAGTACAAAACGTCATTCACTGACTGACATTGCCTTCAGGAAGTTTCAAAAAATAATCTTATTAAGTGAGGCCATCGTCTCATATTGTTATGTAGTAATTAAAAGTTTGTTTTATCAAAGTTTTCGAAATAAAATTAATAAAATTAATATTATATTATTTTATTTTTTAAATCAATTATTTAATAGCAGTTGACTGCTATTAGTTTAAATAACATTATTTTGCTTACTTTAACAGCTTCGTTAATTTTGTATATTTAATCTACTTCCATAGCAAAAACCATATGTAATTCATCTCAGATACGGTAAAAGTTGGGAAAGTTTATTAAAAATTACTGCATTTCTGGCGCGAAATATTGAATTTTCGCTGCGGCGAATAATCTACCATATGTTAAAAAATAAGAAAAAAACAAGAATAAAATTGGAAATAAAATTTAAAGAAACGCAATAAATTTTTAAAATATTATTTTCACAAACGACTGTCTTATCGGTTGTCAAGTTTATTTAACAATTACTATTAAAATAGCTACAATTTCAGTTGATTTTAATTTTTTTAAATCTTAAAATGTGTTCCCACTGGTTGTTTCTTTAAAGAGTAAGTCTTATTACAAATTTTAAATAAAAAAATTTTTGAATTTTAAAATAAAAAAAAACACTTTTTGAAAAAATTTTGTCAAAATTTTTTATTTTCACAAAACAAATAATGTTTTGTGAAAATTTTTAGTTTTATTTAAGCAATAAATAAGAAAAAGAATTTAAAAAAATAAGTGGCGCCAAAAATTATATTTTTAGTTCCAATACCTTACGCTTGCAATTGGAAATTGCAATCCGATATTAGATGGTATCATAGTGGAAACAATTCTTTTTGACAACCACCACATATATTTAGTTAACAAAAAACTGACATCTTGAACACACTGAAATATTAAATTTTGAAAAAAGAAAACAGTTAAAAGAAGCAGAAGATTAATCAAAATTTTTTTTATAAACAATTGTTATTAAAATTAATATTCAAGCTTAATGTATTCAATAATCAAAAAATATACATATTTGCGTTAAAATAATTGGGAACAAAAACAAATTAATTTCTTTAAAAAAGTTTTCGATTAGAAAGCGTAATAAAATAAATTTTAAGAAAAAAGGAGGCAAAAATGCATAAATAAACACATACTTGTAGATATGTAGATACATAATCTATGTACATATGTATATAATACATACTTTATTTCATATTAGTTAATATTAATCAGCAGTTGAAAGTAATGTAATTTCAAAGAAAAAAAATTGCGAGTTGGAAATTATGCTAGTAACTATGCACTTGTTTAAAAATTTTAATCAAAACTTGGAATCATATTCCGGAAAAGGTCCAAGTGATTGCATCATAATTCTCAAATTGTTATGGTGGCTATATCTGGTGTGTGAGATTTGGACACTAAAAGGCTTTTCCAGAATGCATACATACTTGAGCGTAAATAAGAAATTGCACCAATACGGTATATTTTATGTTGCATTAATATTCAAATGTAAGTACATAGGTATAAAATAGCTATTTAGTAAGTGTAAATAATAATTACACATATGTATATATGTATGTAGCAAATTATTTTAGAAATTCAAATTCTAATTAAAAATTTGGATAAATTCAAGCTTGAAATGTTTACATACATATGTACATATACTTATGGTCCATATAATATATGTACTCACGTTGGGAACTTTTTTAAGTTAATTTTAAGCAAGGTCAAATAGTTTTATTTTGGCTAAAATTGACAGATTCAAACCACATTTCTGTATATTCAATTCTTTATATACATATGTATTTCCGTTTATGCGAATATCCTTAAACAATTTTATACATTTAACGGCATATATTTGTAAGATTTGTAATTGTTAATTCTTAAATAAACGTAGATTCTCCGAACAATTTTTCCGCTGCTCGCGGCATCTTCATTAACTTCAATATTTCACTTGTAATTTTATCTTACTATTATAAGTATTATACCTTTAAGAAATCGAAATATTTTCTTTCTTCTTACCAGATACTTTATTTTCAAGGAGCTGCTATATTAATTTCAAAATTATTTAAAAAAAATTTGCCTTTAAAAAATTAAGAGAAATTATTATATATTTATTATATCATTTTTTATTATAGTTTTTATATTATTTTATAGGTACTAATGACATGAAAGTTTGGATATATCTACCCACGAGTGTGTGCAAGTAAGTGAAAACCTCTTTTTTATTACAAATTATTCAATAATTAATTGTAATGTGTGTGCATGCAGACTAAGATTTCCAAAAAAAAAAAAAGGTTAAAGGACCCGATATTCAAGATTGTTCATTTTTTGTACTTCATGTGATTGTGTCTGGAAACAGGTTTTGGGAAAACTAAAGATCTTTTCATTTAAACTAAATTTTGTATTAGGTATAAATCAATTGACGTGAAATTTTCAGAATTACGTTATCCAATACAAAATTTAATATTGATTGTAATTTTATATATTTAAGCAAATTCTAATTGAAATTATGTGGTTACATATATAGATGTAGGTCTATGTACGTAACTTGTAATTTGTAGTGTAAATTTACAATTTCATACTTAATATTATTTTGCCTCAGTAAAATTTGAAAAAAAAAATTGAGATTATGCAATTATAAAAAATTAAAAATTTTTTAACAGATGATATGTATGTAACCTAAATTTGTACATGCGTTTTATATATAATATGTTGCTTTATTGAAGTACAAGTATGTATAGAATAAACTATAATTGTCATTACATTAATGTTATGTTTATAATAACGTAATATCTACATTGACATATCTTCGGTATTATGGAAGAGTCACGCAACTGCTTAAAAACAAAATTTTAAATTTACCGTTGTATATAATCAAGATTTTTTTTAAATTTATGGTATAGGTTTTCAGATTGCAGAAGTGTGAAATTTAGTACCTACTTTAATTATTTTATTTTTTAATTACATTATTTATTTCTTTAATTGTTTTTTTTTTTACTTTTTTTTAAATATTTATTTTTTAAAATATTTATTTATTTTTTAATCATTCATCTGTTTTTTGAATTATATAATCATTTTTTTATAATTTCTTTACTTTTGCTTATTTATTTTTCAAATTATTTATCTAGTTTTTTAATTATTTATTGATGTTTTATTATTTCTTAATTTATTTATTTACTTGTATTTTTTGTTATTTATTTTTTATTTTTCAAATTATTTTTTTTTTTATTTATTTATTCTGTAAATTATTTAATTTTTTTTTAATTGCTGATTTATTTTTTTGGTTATTAATTTATTGTATTTATTTAGTTATTAATTTAATAAGGTACATATATATATATATATAGTGTGTATATTTTACTTCATACTGGTTAAATTAACATTAATCAACAGTTGAAATCAATCTATTTTTTAAAAAATAAATAACAGTTTGGATGCAAGCCACTTCTTTGAAAAGAAGCAAAAGTTTGGTAGCATATTCCGGAACTGGTCCAGATGCATATTCTCAAACTAGGTCCAAACAACATACAATTGGTATATCTGATGTTATTTAATATAATTAAATTATAATATGTGCATACACTTCCTCTAAACAAATTAATTATAAAATTTCATATCTTACAGAAATTGTAAATCCTGATTAAGCACTTGAATAAATTGAAGTTTGACATATGTATGTTTGTATGTACATAAACTTATAAAATTGTCAAACAAGCCAAAATAGAAAACTTTAACAAATTAATTTCAAGTAAGGTCTAAAAAATTTATTTTGGCCTTAACGGATACGAATAACATTTCTGTATATATCTTTACAATACACCATACCTGTATTTTATGCAATTATTCTTAATAATAAACATTTCAGTTCTTTTACCGTATATTTGACAAGATTGTTCCAGTAGTTTTTCTTTAAATTTGTTTATTCCAAAATTAACGCAGTTTTAATCTAATAATTATTTTTTATACCAAATTTGACCAGTGTTCGTGGGAAATTTTTTATTTAGATTGCTAAATCAATAATCTGCTCTATTTATGCCTGAATAAGATTTTTAACTAAAATATCAAAATATTAACCCAAAACAATATTATATTACTGTTGATTATAATTTTTTCCTTTAAATCAGCTTTCCTCTAATTAGGTTTCCTCTAAAGATTTCATTTCATTACACTTTACATTTTACTTATTATTTTATTTTAGTAAATATTCTATCTCCAAAAGGCCGAAAACTTGTATTTCCTAAAATTTTATTTTATCAGTATAATTTAGAAATTTTTCTTATTAAATGATATTCCGAATTATGTTTCTATTTCCGGCATTACAATAAAGGATTGATATTCTGTTCCTAAAAGTAATAATAACTGTAAATATTAAAGAAATTAAGGTGTTAAAAAAGTATTAAAAGGTTTTAAAACTGTCGCTAAAAAACGAAATATTTTGAAAATATAGTTTTTTGTACTAAAAATATGTAGGTGTATGCATGCCTACCTGTGTAAGCAAGCAAGTAACTGAAATAATAAAATATTTATTAGAAATATAGTCATTTATTAATTGCCCATATGAATGTTGAATTTTGTGTGTGCATAACAGACTTATGTAGGTTCACAAAATAGAAGGATAAAGGATCCGATATTCAAGATTATTAATTATTTCCTCTTTATTTCAATCATTTATTTTCTTCTGTAAGTATATTTAATGTTCACATTCAAGTTTATAGTGCGCAATATAAAATAGGGAAAGAGAGTGTGTGAGGGGAAATATGTATGTATATTCGTTAAGGATACAACAGTGCCATCAATCACTCCCCCCTTCTGTCTATAATGTATTGCATGTCATAAAAAAATAAGAAATAATAAATAAAATTTTAATTTAGTGTTTTTTCCCCTTTTCTTTTCCAGAAAAGTAAAATATTGTTATGTATGTACTAGGTTTAAAAGTTTTTATAACTTAGGTACAATTCAAAGGATAAAAATTCCTTTTGTAATCTGAATAATAT